TGGAACAACTGATTGGTTCAAAATTGTGAAAGGAGTACGACAAGGCTGTATATTGTTCCCCAGCTTATTTAACTTATATGCAGAATACATCATGCGAAAGACTGGACTGGATGAATCCTAAACCGGAATTAAGATTGCTGGAAGAAATATCAACAACCTCCGATATGCAGATGATACCACTCTGATGGCAGAAAGGGAGGAAGAATTAAGGAACCTTTTAATCAGGGTGAAAGAGGAGACCGCAAAAAATGGTCTGAAACTCAACATCAAGAAAACAAAGATCATGGCCACTGGTCCCATCACCTCCTGGCAAATAGAAGGCGAAGATATGGAGGCAGTGAGAGATTTTACTTTCTTGGGCTCCATGATCACTGCAGATGGAGACAGCAGCCACGAAATTAAAAGACGCCTGCTTCTTGGGAGGAAAGCGATGACAAACCTAGACGGCATCTGAAAAAGCAGAGACATCACCTTGCTGACAAAGGTCCACATAGTCCAAGCTATGTTTTTTCCAATAGCAATGTATGGAAGTGAGAGCTGGACCGTAAAGAAGGATGACCGCCAAAGAATTGATGCTTTTGAATTGTGGTGCTGGAGGAGACTCTTGAGAGTCCCCTGGACTGCAAAGAAAACAAACTTCTCCATTCTTGAGGAAATCAACTCTGAGTGCTTACTGGAAGGGCAGGTCCTGAAGCTGAGGCTCCAATACTTTGGCCATCTCATGAGAAGAGAAGACTCCCTGAAAAAGACCTTGATGTTGGGAAAGTGTGAAGGCAAGAGGAGAAGGGGACGACAGAGGACGAGATAGTTGGACAGTGTCATCGAAGCTACCAACATGAATTTGATCAAACTCTGGGAGGCAGTGGAAGACAGGAGGTTCTGGCGTGCTGTGGTCCATGGGGTCATGACTTAATGACTAAACAACAACAACAATGCACAGTTGGCTGTGTCAGCCCACAAGTAAAGCATGGATATTTTAGATAAGGATAAAGGGCTTCTCCTATTTTCTACTATGGTTTTTTATTTTGCCTTTAGGTTAAAGGGAACTGGTCAAGTACAAGCATCCTTGGTTGGTTTGGATGTTGGTCACTTTGCTCTCCATAAATAAAGTGGTCAGGCTTCCCACTTGTTCTAGAGTCACCAAAATCTAACTTGGGAAGTCCATCCAACTTATTATGAGTACATTCCTCTACCAAAGATACGAGGACTGGGTTTGATACGTAATAAAGTATATATTTAAACAACGTATCTCGGTGTCTGGCAACCTCCTTTATAAACTTCACAACACATCCAACTTATTATGAGTACTTTCCTCTACCAAAGATACGAGGACTGGGTTTGATACGTAAGACCAAGAAAAAAAAATCCTGCCCTCTCCTAGCATTCCGTGTACTGAAAAGATCCGGGACTTTACATCAAGACTGGCAGTGTGACCATGTTCTCCACTGTCTCTGAGTACAACAGGTTAGTTTTGAGGATGAAAAACAGGCATAACACGGCTCTGTTTACCTGAGGAGAATGGCTAGAAACCGTTGCTGCTTCTCAGCACCTGCTGCCTGAGGCAGTTCCCTTTGTATGTCTAAGGTTAGGGCAAGCTGAGAAATAGTTTAGCTTTGCTGTTCCATTTTGATCAGACCAATCAAAGAAATTTAACTCACAATTTACAAAAGAAAGATCAAAGGATATATATTCTGATTAAAAGCAATTTACTTTAAAAAAGTTGAGTGAACCTCTAAAAAAATAAACCTAGTTCCTGTGGCCTTTGGGGAAGTTTTTCCTCCAACTCCCCCTATCTACCTCCCCAAAAGGCAGTTGTAGATCTCTGGGGTTGCTCACTTCTTCAGCAGCCAAATCTCATTACGTCTCCCGTACGGCTTCATGGGGGGATCATAGCCATTGCAAAAGTAGAAGTCTTTGTGGTAAGTTTCCTCATTTCCCAAAGCAGAACTCAGCTTGGCTGCATAATTCACATAGTCCACTTCTTTGGCATAGCCTCCAAATTGCCTATCAATAAGAGAAAAGAAAAATACTGGAGTGTGATGACTAGACCAAAAGAAATTGTACATAAAGAAAAATAGAAGGAACAAAGCAGGACTTCCTCCTAAATGAGCAGCTGTTGGTAAGCACTATTTTTCAGTGTACCTACTTTCTACCCAGGTCTGGCTTGTGGGTTCAACCTACAAAATTTCATTGATGGGATGCTCTTTTGCACAACACNGCCGATCTCCAGGCACCAGATGTTGGGAAGGAGAAGTGCCAAATTTCCAGTTGTTCCTCCTGTGCCTCTTGGAGAACAGGCACCAAATGTTGGGAAGGAGAAGTGCCAAATTTACAGTTGTTCCTCCTGTGCCTCTTGGAGAACAGATGTGACCTGTCCCTGCATCTGCTAAATTGGCCTGTTTTCCTTAGGTGTGGGTTGAGCTGGGGAAATTTGGGAAGAGTCTGGCAGCTGTAGCCCAAAAGTTAACTCTTCCAAGCTCTGGGTGCTAGTAAGGATCCTGTCCCACGACCAGTGTTTAACTGCCAAGTTGTACACAGACAGGGGTGGGGTTAGACATTAACTTGTCCTTTGTTTCAGGGAGTAAAAATGTCTTGGGGGATCCTGCAGTGCTTTATTCACCCCAAAGTGATTCACAGAGGAGACCAGCCTTCTCAGTGGTGCCTCAAGCAATTCAAATGGGAAGGACAGAACGCTAAGGGTTCCTGTGTCAGGCATTAAGTTCCCTATCTCTGAAGAAGGTGCTCAAGAATGAACGCATTAGCAATGGGAGAAAGAACCCACTGACTTGTGACCTTGTTCCTCTGGGTCAAACCAGAAATCATATCAAGTGTGCAACACTTCAGATTGTCCTTTTTTTCCTTAAAAAAGAAAAGAAAAGAAAATGAACCCTGGGGTCAGGGATTCTGACCAACTGGGACTATAACACTGCAATGCAGAGGTCAGTCTTTCACAGATTTTTTTTTCTAAGAAAAACCCCACCCCTCATTGTATTTGCCTCACAAATCTAATAGGAGGTTTGGCAGAGTGAGTTGGGGATAATTTTTGTTAGGAAAACACAATTTGCAGTACCATGCAGATGTAGAAGGAAGATAGTGGCTTCTATTCAACGAAAGAGGCAGACAGGAGAAAATATGATCTTTTGACATCAAGTCTAGTCATGTACTGAAAACACAGTCGATCAAGGTGATACAGATTGCCTTTCAACATTGTGATAATGTTCTGTACAACACTTTAAAAGGCTTGTTAGCACATCAAAGAAACATTGATAATAGCTAATAATAAAACAGTACATAAAACTGATAATGAGCAATGTGCATCAAAAACAAAACAAAACATCCAATTAGCTGTATTTTCAAAATCATTTTTCACAAAAATTAATTAATTGAATGACATGTCTAATGCATTCTTAGTTATAGAGGAAAAATCAGCCAGTGGAGATTTCAGGAAACTTTTGATAAAAAAGAAAAGAAAAAACAGGATCAGCTCCTATTTGCCCAGGTGTCAGTCATGGCTAGAATCAATATGTGTATTTAGTGGCAATTTCCTGAGATGTCAATCAAGGGAACATCATCTACCATAATAGCATAAAGAGCGCTTATGGTTCAGTCAACTGCCATGGAAGACGACACAGGGTGGAAAGGCTCAGCATGACACCCCATGTCAGATGCTCAGTACAAATGATGGAACCATGGCTTCATATTGCTTTCTATGCACTCCTGTAATTAAAGTCGATGCCCAGCCCAATCCTGGGCAAAAAAACAAGACATCCTCTTCTGAAAGATGATCCTTGACAGCAGATTTCTTCACAATTACTACAATAAAGTTTCAGCTTTCTCTTGACAGGAGAGTGACACCCAAAGGCCACTCTTGTTGAGTGATCTGCTGTGTCATCCCCGCCGGGTGTGCACAAACCTGCTCCCCAACTGGAAGTGGCAGGAGGAATGAATTCTTGTTCTCTCATCTTGGCTGAAAGGAACTGCCACACTGAAAGTGACAGCCTATCCATTTTCAACAGTTGTCTGGGCCACACATGGATTTAGTGCTCCAGACGCTGAAGAAAACTGCTGCATAAAGGTGAAAGAATTGTTCTCCTGGATCAGACAAACAACTCAGCTAGCCAGGTCTGTGGGCTTCTCCCCTGCTTCGTTCTCAATTTTTTGAACCTCAGAGTATGTATTAGATATGTAATCTGTCTTTCTTCCCTAAAATATATTGATATTATAAAGTTGCCATCCCTGAAATTTTTCTCACCAGCTGTGCTGGAATACAACTCCCATAATCCCCAGCTAGAAGGACCAAGGCATGATGTAGTACCATACATCTGGAAGACTCCAGTTAAGACTGCCTTGATACAGGAAGGCAAACACTTATTTCTAACTTGAAGATATTAGGACTGGGACGGCTCTCACACATCAATACTTGTGCTTCTAACAGTGTCGGTGCTGTGACAAGACAGGTCAAAGGCAGATCTCACAAAAGATTTTTTTTTTTTAACCAACAGATTTCAAATCTGAGAGCTGCAATCCAAAGCTGTACGTTTTCCAAGCTGTGGTCAAAAATACTGCAGGGCAGTCCCAAATATCTAGGACTGAATGGCTGTCATATATACAGATGTGCATAACAGATCTCCAGTGCTGTTGTGCTTTGAAAGAAAAACAAAACTCTTTGCCCTCCTGAAGCTTTACTGTAATATGCATGTAGCTCCTGAAGATCTGTTCACTGAACTGTTTTTTTTGGCACAAGTACTAATCTTCCTTCCTAATGGTTTCTTTTGGGGGAGTCTAAAGCAAGAGGCAAGCACACTGCACATGCTCAGAAACTTCCCATCATTATGAGGGTGGACAACCTTGGAAGATCCAGGGACCACATTTGCCCACCCGTGGACCTCTGAGGGTAGCACTTCCCTTAGCACGTCTCAAAATATGTTTTGTCTGCTGCAAAAATGGCAAACAAACCTCCCAGAGCCTCAGGAAAACAGAATCTGATATTCAAACACAAGTTTCTCCTTTCCTGGCCTTGTTTTAGGCTGTAAGAGCTTTTCTTTAGAAACAAGAAGGGACTGGCTGGTCACCTCTGGTTTCTAGAAGAGGAATTTCAAGGCCTAAAAAACAAGCTTGAGGAAAAGATCATGTTTAATGGGAAATGTGCTCCCTTGGAGGGTTCTAGGGACACAATTTGCCATTTTGGACCCAACTGTGGCGAAGTCAAGAGGTATCTGGGGCATTGGAGAGCCTCACTGGGTCTCTTGGGCAAACTCATGAGGCCCCACATCTGAACATTGCCTGCTCCTACATTACGATAGAACATTCCACAGCAAAGTTATAGCTCTGAATTCTGGTTGCAGGAGTGGGTTCATTTGAGCTTTGGCCTCAATGAAAATAAATAGACAGATAAATATTAACTTATACATTGTCACCAGTGTCCACACCACTTTCCTAAGTTACATGAGCCCAAAGGCAAGCTTCTGCTCTGGGGAGTTTATAGTCCATATTTCATTAGTGTCACAAAGATCACCACCAAGATCTGCAGCCTTAGTAGCCAACCCAGATGTGTGGATATTGACCTTTTCAAGGATTCGATTGTTACTGTGAAATTAAAGCAAACCTTACTTGTGGTGAAAAAGGAAAGGGGGTGCATCCTGGCTCAGTGAAGCAGTGACTCAGGACTCTTTGCTTTACCACAGCTTACAACTTGCTCAATAATAGTGACCAAAAGCCCTATTTGGTTTTTCCTTATCTGTTTCTGATCTGTCTGTGAATTTCGTTGTATTCATAGTAACCAAAAGCCCTATTTGGTTGTTCCTGATCTAAGTATCCCTATATATATTAGAGATGGGGTTATTCTTATTCGAATATCCCTCACAGGTGGAAATAACGAGGATCTGGTCCCATGGGGCTGGACTGTCCATTCACCATTCTGCCACGGACATGCACTCGACGGAGCCTTCCTATTGCGCTCTTGTCCACAATGGATTAGCCACTCTGTGACCATGCGCTCGACACAGCCTTCCTATTGCCCTCTTGTCTGCAATGAATTAGCCACTCTGTGACCTGGCAGAAAGTTTCATCATTCCACCTTCTGCCAGAAGTGGCTAATTCATTGCGGACAATGGTGCAATAGGAAGGCTTGCGGTCAATGGTGCGATAGGAACACTCTGTCGAGCACGCGTCCACAGTGGAATGGTGAGTGGACAATGAGTGGACCCTCATTATTTCCACCTGTGTGTCCACAGTGGAGTGGTGAGTGGACAATGAGTGGACTCTCATTATTTCCACTTGTGGGGGGATATTCAAATACAAATACCCCCATCTCTACTATATATGCAACACACTCTATTGCTGGTTATGTCCAGGTTCAAAAGTGGCCTCAGAAAGAGGAAACTCTCCTTGTCCTGTGAAGGCTTTCTTCATGATTTAAAACATTGGAAAACTGATCTTATGCATCATGTACGTAGGAGGTCTCCCCAGATAGTGGAGGCTCTCTGCTGAGTCACTCTCCATGTATCCATTGCAATAGAGGAGGAAGGGACAAGTGCAACAGCTAAACAGAGCTAGAGAACAGCATGGGATCCAAATCCCTTTTCTCAGAACCAGCTTAGGACACCTACGTGGAGTAAACTGTCATTTCTTCTCTTCCTTCAATCTGGATGCTTTCGTCAGTAGGCGAAGGAGGACTGGCCTGGAACTGGCTTGGAATCCGTAGCAGGACTTTCACTTTATGCTGCAAGGACCCGTCTTCTGCAGGAAACACAGTGGAGCACACAGGGGCCATCATGCCCATCCCAGCACCTGAAAGGGAAACACTGATCACACATGTACATTCTCTTGAGACACAAAAATAAGGGTGGTTGCTTCCCCCTGCCCCCGAATACTGCAAATGTATTATTGGGCAACTAAATGAAGGGCATAGCCATGGAAGTACATAATGTGGGAGAGTGGAGCCTATGGTCAATGGGTTTAAATTGACCTAGAGATCCGATTAAAAGCACCTCTGTTTCCCGAAACTCCTGTCTCCTCTCTAAAGCCCACCCTCCCACCAACAGAAAGGCAGGAGGGACATCCCCAAGAGACTGCCAGTTTCTGACTGTATGGGTTCTTACCCTGGTCATTGCTTCCTCCAACATATTTCAGGAGCTTCAGCACTGCTTCTTTTACAGCCTCATCATACGGCTTTCCAGTGACCTCAACTGTGGCAAACTTTCCACCTTCATATACCCTTTCCTCGTAGCCCACTTCCTCCTGGTAACACAATTGTAAGAGAACAAATTAATTGACAGATGCAGGAATGTCATGTCGTAAAACAACAGGATGACAACAAACACGACACTACTTATATATAGGTAGTTCTTCTAGTCCTGCTATTCAAAGATCAGGTGAATCCTTCAAGGAAGACCAATCAGACAAACAGGGCTGTACCATTCAAATTGCAGTGTCAGAGAATAAACTCCCGTTTAATAATATCACTATTCTACACATTGCACTTTATCCTGCATTTAGCAGCACTAATGGCACATTTCCACTTACACAATCCTAATGAAGCAGCAAAGAACACTGGATTCAGTCACCCTGCATAATACCACTAATAGGGAGGCATCTGCATGCTTGGGCAAACTCTAAAGTTTGCACAAGTATTGAACATTCAAATACAAAACCTGCGAAGACCCAACAAAGAAGAATAAACATCCTCATCAGCTGTGGAATACTGACTATCAGCTGGGGACAATACTAGGCTGAATGGAATAGAATTGTGATGGAAGGGCAAGACTGACTGGTATCTTGAACAGCACTACTGTGGTGAGGAGACCCACAATATGTCATGTCACCACCTACTTTTTCTCTGTCTGCATATATCTCTGAGAATCCTGGCTGTTGAAGTCAAACACGTTAGAAGGGTATCTTTTTGGGTAAGGTTGGATTTGAACCTTGAACAGAGGCAAGCCATGCTGGAAATCCAACATTATGTTTGTTCCCCACAGTACCCAACCAACAAGAACCACAAAAACAAGACTTTCTCCTCCATCACTTTTCTAGAGCTGGTATTTAGAGGGATGCTGCTCTGAAAACTGTAGGTTCTACAATACAGTCATCCTCCCTGGCTTTGTCTCATCTATTTGTAAAAGCCTCTAGGCTGATGCCATCCTCATCACTACATTCCATGGCTGGCAGTAAATGCCACACGTTAATTGTGCTGTCATTTTTAAAGGTCTATATAGAATCTCCTTTTGCAATGGAATGACCAGAACTGCATACAATATTCTAAATGGACCAAGACCAAAATCAAATATATAGGGGCTGGGGAAAAGCCTTATTGTCTGGCCTGATTTGGCCCTTATTTGTTGTGGACAATGCTGGTCTAGACAGGCTGATGGTATATTTGAGAATAAGGCAGTTTGCTATGTTTCTCATTATAATATAGCCATTTCATTTTCAGCATCTTTCTTAATATTCTCTAGCACAGAACATGCCTTCCTCACAGCCACCACATTCCAAAGCTGGCATTTTTATAGTGCTAGTGAACCCACACCTCCAGTCTTAGGACAATATACAGTTCCAAACAAAGATTTAAAGATGCTTCTATAAATTACAATTTGCATAAGTGAGTTGCTTTTTGAACATGCTAAGAACATTTGCTGCTTATGAATTTGTTTTCAGTGTTTGAATGCTATGGATAAGACCATCAAATATTGAACTGGGCAGCCATCAGTCCGTCTCTAAGAACAGTTGCTATTGTTCCTTCAGTATACAGTTGAGATAGTAGTTGATAAACACGTCCTTTAAGGACAGGCCTCATGAGAGTTATGTGTGTGCGTGTGTGCACATGCATCTGTAGCTGTGGAAGCAACAGCTTTGACAAGCTGCTGAGAAGAGAATGGAGAGAAAAATAGATATATGGTACATAGCATGTAATCTTAGGACAAGATTTGCTGGTAGTGCTTTTGGGTTGTCAACTGTACCGGAATGACATGGAATTTCATAAGAAATAGGAACCGCAGAAAATCCTCCTGTTGTTGGACTTGGATAAGGCTGTAGTTTCAAAAAAGCATCAGCAAAAGCTATGTAGAAATGGAAACTAGTTTAGAGAGTATGTGGCACACCAGCTGGTGTGTCAGGTTTATGTCTGTAGATTATCCACTGAAGGTAAAATTTACTGGGCAAAATAACATATACTGTAAGAACAGAAGAGTCCTACTAGATCAGCTGACAGGCCTCTCTTGTCTTAACGTTGTGTTTCCACAGTGGCCACACAGATGCCTCTCAGAAGCCCACAAGCAGGACAACACAGAAATTGTCCTCTCCTGCTGCTGTTGTCAGGCAAATGCCATTTAGAGTCATGTTGTCCCAGATCCTGGAGGAAATATACAGCCATCATGGCTATAAGACATCAACAGATCTCAGGCCACTGACTATGGTCATAACTCAGCTTCATGACAGCCGTATTGTGCGTTTGAACACAGAGCCCAAAGCAATGTGATGCTACTGTGTTTAATATATTTGCTTTACATTCATAGTAGCAGGTTCAAAGTTTGCCTAATCCAGTTTGGGACTGAAGCAGCAGGGAGGTGGGGTTAACCATTCCCCTGCTTGCTAAAATCCAGGCAAGGGGAAAAGGCTGTATGTGCCAACGGAAGCGTCTTTCCAGAGGTTAACAGGAGCTTTGTGGGCTAAGATTTTCACTGAGGCCACAGCCAGGGGTGAAAAGTTAACTTTCCTCCCTGTATACCAACAGTTCCGATCCTTGCAGCTGTCCTTTTTAAAGGCAAACCAGCAGCAACAACAGATACATTAATGCATTTGTGTATTTCTCATCCCATCTGTTCTGGCCTACAGAACTGTTTCGATTATGTCAAAAGAGGAGAACTTGGTTTGTAAATGCAAAACAGGTGCATGCATAAAGAAGCCTAAAACCCCTTCCTTCTTCCCTTCCCCCTCTGTACAAACTTTCTCCCTGAACATTTGCTCTCTGACAGCTTCCTTTCATCAGTGGAATCACAAATGGGAGGCAGGCAAAACTCAGAAACGATGCCTTTTTAAAAAAAGTCCAGAACTTTTAGAACTTTCAGTGCTGGCTGAGGGAATGCTTGTAGTTCTTGTCTGAAAAGGAAAGAGGTGCCACAGCGCAACAAGCATTCGCGGAAGAAAATTCTGCAGTCCTAACTCACACATTGTTTGTGATCTGATGAGATCTGTAATCTTTGTACGGTGGAAGAGGTTCCTTTTCTGCACACACAGAACTGCTGCCACCACACCTGGCTTCTCACCCTGATGTAGCTCCTGGGATTGCTGTGAGGCTAAAACACTACTTTAAACTCCCAGGAGGAAGGCAGGGAGCGGAATGTAACAAATAAGTGGCAGAGAAAAACATGCAAATTAGAGCTCATCAGAATACAAGAAGAAAACACCACCGGCTGTGAAACAGCCAGAGGCTTCTATTCCTCCCTTTGTGGAAGGAAGAGTTAATGACCTTGGGTAGCTATAACGCTGCTTGATCTAATATCATACACCACTGGGCCCCGGCATTAGGTTGTTCACATACGACTCATCAGTCTGCAATTAGTTTCATACAGAGAAGAGAAAATACCACATCATAAAACATATCCCTCTTCTTCTTTTTTTAAACTGAATGACTGTAGCCACAAGACTACTTTAGGGAGCTATAAGGAATTTCAATGCTGCTAGAGACAAAGCAGAAGGTTTTTCTGCAGGTAATCCTGACTCATTGTCTCTACCACAAGTGTAATTAACATACTGTCAAGTGCATTTCCACATGGGGTTGGGTTTTCACATGAGCACAAGGGGGGGGGAATCTAACAGGTGAAGCTTTGCCCATCATTTCCATGACAGAAAAACAACGCTAGTTTATTTCTGCTGCAAAAATGATGAGAATTCTAATATGTTACAATTAATGCAATACAATACTACTAGATCAATGTTCTCTTGAGAGAATAACCAATAATCAACAATAAAGTAACCAAAAGAAAAAAAGAAAAAGAAAAAAAAGACAACCACCTCCCTTCTGTAACTACCCCATTGTTCAGATCCTTTCAGGAGAAACTCTTCTAAGGTGTCCACCAACTGAGGTAAGCCAGAAGGTATTGGAAGAGAGGTAAGCCAGAAGGTATTGGCCACACCCTGATTTTGCAGAGCCTCTTCCCAGAGAAGTGCGCCTCACACCTTCTTTATGGCCGTTTCAGTACCATCTCCTTTTCCCTGATCTTCTAAATTAGCGAATTTAATGCTAGATTTTGATCCCTCGTTTCTAGCTGTGTTACTTGATGGACACTCCCTGTTTCTAGCTCTTTCAATGTTTCATGGCTGTTTGATGGGGACTTTCCAGCTCCTGGCACTGGTTTATTTTTTTAAAACCATAACGATTACTGGAGGGGAACTTTGTCCCTTCCAAACTTAACTGGTCACTGCTGCACATACGACGTGAATCACACACAGGTCACCCCTTGCAAAATATCTTCTGTGGACTTGTTTTAATTATTAAGGATTAAAGCCACCTTTCAAGAAAGCACTCCTCCTTGGACCAGTATTTAGCACAAAACAGATGTTGCCCGGGGGGGGGTTTCTCCCCATCCAGGCATGGGACCTGCTCCGCGACTGCTTAACTTGAACAAACGAGGGCGCTTGCTGTGCCATCGCTGCTATTATGTCATACCCCTCGGATCGCAAAAAACAGCTTCTAGGGACAAACCACTTGAGTTGGGGGGGGTGCACCAAAGGAGGAACAGAAAAGTAGACTTTCAGTGGAGCTTGCGAGGAACAATTACTCCCAAAAGGGCAGCCCGCGCCGCTTCCTCTTCGGCTCGCAGGAACCGAACTCGCCTCTCTCCACTCCTACCTTTTCCCCCTTGCTGAGGACTCGGCAGGGCCACTCCTCCGCCGTGCCAAAAAGGGAATTTTTGATCATCCCAAACATGCTGGCGGCGGAAGACGGTCGAGCCCCTTCCCGTCCAGCTGGCCTCGCCTCGCTTCCGCGGCGAGCGAGCGAGCGAAGTAAAGCGGCAACTCCGCCCCGGAGTCGCTCCCTTGGCTCTTGCAGCTGCAGGCCTCGACGTGTGTGTGGGGGGGGAGAGAGAAGCGGGAAGGGCGCCACAGCTGGATGAGCAGACCTCGCCCCGGAAAGCGAGGGCCGTCGCCTTCCCCGCGGACGCAGCGGAGCTTCCGCAAGGGGTGGGGTGGGGTGAAGGTTGCCACCTTTTAAAACTCCACAGCGGCTGTGCCCCTGTGCTATTAATACATTAATAAGCAGGAATAAAGCGGGTGAAGCCCCCCCCATATAGTATCGAAGTAAGTTTTGTAGCAGGGCGCTGTTAAAAAAAAAACAGTAAAAAGAAAACCGATTACAAAAGCAAAAAAGGTTTGCAAGTGCGCGACGTTTGAGCTCGAGGAGGCGTTGACTCCGTCGACTAATTTTCACCCTAGATGGGGCCCATGTTCTTCAGACTGGCAGGCGCCACTCAAGCAGTCTCTTGAAGACCTTTTAACACTAGCCACCACTCCTGAGTGCCGCTAGGGAAGACCCTGCAGGAACAACCCCCCCCCCCAAAGTCCTCTTCCAAGTATTTTGGAGTTGTTCCTTTTACACTGTTCCAGCCAGAACCTCCTTTGATCCAGGTTGTTATCTTAGATTGGATGGTCCATGAAAGGGTTAGAATGAGAGTTGGAACTGCAGCAGTGAAGGAACTGGGGGGGGGACCATCAAGTTAAAAGGATGTGTCACTGGAGACCAAGATCATCCACATTTTTGTATTCCCCATCACCACATATGGGTGTGAAAGCTAGACAGGAAAGAAATCTGATAGGGGGGAAAAAAAACCCAATTGATTTGAAATGGCATTGGCCAATGTGTTTGATCAGCAGCCAATGGAGCTTCTGTAACAGAGAGGTTATGTGATCCCTGTAATCAGCCCCAGCCGGCAATCTGGCTCCTGCATTTTGAATCAGCTGAAGTTTCCTGACACTTTTCATGGGCAGCCACCCATAGAGTGCGTAACAATAATCCAGCTAGGATGTAATTAAGGCATGTGCTGCTGTGGCCAGGTAGACCTCTCCAGGAATGGGTCCAGTTGGCATACTAGTTTTAACTGTGCAAAAACACTTCTGACTACTGTCAAAACCTGGGCATCTTGGCTTCAGCTGTGGCCAGGAGCGCCTTTGCACAGTTAAAACTAGTAAACCAGTATGCCTTCTCTCTTTATCTGTAATGGGATTAGAGTGTTGTGGCTGGCTCTGTCACTAGGGAGAAGGAAGTCGCCTCTGGAAGTAGATTCTGGATATCATCAAAGGGAAACCAATAGTTAGAATAAACCAGTACTGTATGCCTTCTCTCTTTATCTGTACTGTAATGGGATTAGAGTGTCGTGGGCTGGCTCTGTCACTAGGGAGAAGGAAGTCGCCTCTGGAAGTAGATTCTGGATATCATCAAAGGGAAACCAATAGTTAGCAATAAATCTATCACTCTTGTTTTACTGCCTGGGAAATGGAGAGAGATGACTGGGATTTTCTGCCTTGAGCCAAAATACCTTTCCTATCTCGGGGTACAATGTACTTTATTTGGATTGTAAATGTGCTGGTTTTTGCCTTGCCTCAAATGTCAATATGTCTTGGGCCTGTCCTAAAATGTCTGATTACTTCAGTGTGGATCTAGATTAAGAGCCAGGCAAGTTGTGTGTATAGCTTCGAAGTCATAGAAGAAGTAGAAGATCTGATTTTCTTTACATAGAACTAAAGGTTTAGGAGGAGAACATACGTTGAAAAATGTATGCGGTTGCATGAAGAGGGCAACTGTGCCTGTAGGCCATTCCCATAATTTTAAACACTTGTCAAGAAAGATACTGCCTGTTTCCTCTGTCTATGTGCCATTCTTTCAAAGCCTACTAAAGACAACTCCATTATAAAATTACCACAAATCTTGTCATGCGTATCACTTGTAAAAATGTAATCAAGAAACAAGGATTAAAGCATACAAGAGATACTGGGAGATGATATTTTAAAACATACTATACATACTTTTCATTACAAATAGAATCATGTGGAAGTCAGTGTCATAAAACATAATAGCCAATACATGTTCCAATTGTTTCAAAACTGCCCTTTCCAAAAGCTCTCTTCAGACACAAATTCAGAACCAGCTAAACTCACAGCGTATGCTCAAAATTTTCACATACTTCACAATAAAATTCAGTAGACTGAGCTCATCTTAAGGTGCTCAGGCTAAAACCCTCTGGTGACTCTTTTTTTTCAGAATTGGGATTTGTTTGTTGTAAACAAACAAACAAACAAAAACCCACCACACTTTTTTAAAAATCAGAATTGGGATTTGTTTCTGCTGTAAACAAACAAAAAACACAACCTTGCATACTTCTCCTTTAACACTAGATGTCAGTGGGTGGTACACCCTGTTTCTAGTTCCTAGGTACTACCTGCTAAAAATTTACTTACACCTTTTTAAACACATTTCATTGTCCTTGGGACCATCCTTTTCTTCCAAATATTCCTTTGTTAGCTGCTTTTACTCTCTTAATGCATATGGATCTGATGGAAAAAGAAAGCCCATTCATATTAGGTACATGGAATAAAGACACAGAAAAACCAGCAGGCAACCAGGCTGGCTGAAAGTATTTCTCATTTCGGTCTGCTAGTCTCCATGTAGAATTCCAAATATACTGAACCAGAACTGGCCATGCCATTAGCAGTGTGAGGTGGCTGCCTCACAGAGGGCTGATCTGAGCCAAAATAACAAAAGCTAACGGTATTGTGGTCACTATATTTACTTCCACAGAGAGGCACTTCTGCCCTTTTCGGTTTCACATGTCCAACGATGGGCAGCCAGGTTTGATTTCGACTGGTGATGAGGTGTGTGGCAGTAAGATGTTCGATCCCACCTCAGATACAAAATGTCTTTGGCAGCTCTTTGCAGAGTCACTGAAAACCACATTTGTTGTCCACATGAGAGAGAAACGCTTTCAGAAATGTCAGTACACATGGCCTTTCTTTCAGTTGGTCCTTTATTGTGCTGTATCAGCATTGGGGAAACTAAAGACCCAGAATTTCTCTCTTCTCAGAAAAAGACTAATTCCTCCGAGTTCGCCTCCACACGTATATCCCGTTTCGCTTCACGGGTCGGTTCCTCAGGTAGATGCTGCTGAGCCGCTGACTCCTTAGGGCCTTGTACCGGATGGGAAAGAGGGCTCGGCTGATGACATTCAGGCGCTCATTCAGCTCTGCCAGCCTCTTCTTCATTGAATTTACTTGCTTCAGGAGATTATCAATTGCCTCAGAGACAGGCTGGAGGCTGCAGATAAAAAAAAACAACAACAAAAAAACCACACACACACACACACACACAAACACACACACACAAACACACACAAAAAGAGTAAACACTAGAGAATATATATAGGTCAGGGACTACAGTATTTACTTACACAAAGACTTCTTTCTTACCCTGCTGGTGCCTATAAAATAGATTCAGTTCCAAAATAACAATATAATGAGCATGAATAAATGCTGCAGGGAAAAAATTAGATAGAACCCACAAAGCAAGCACATCCCTGAATCAAATGGTGAAATGTTGCTCTTGTGGGTACTGTACTCCCCAGTTTAGGAAGTGTTCCTTCATATAGCCAGGCCACAGACAAGCATCTTTCTATCAGATCCTTAAGCATGGGAGGAGGCAGTTCATACAGTAAAGACTGACAACTTTGGGTCCTATTGAAGGCATGAATCAGGGGGATGACCTGCCCCAGGCTTGCCGTATAACCACACAAGATGTCTGTGGTTTCCAGGAAGGGCTTGAGCACCTCCACCAACTGGGAAAAGGCCAGCCAATCTGTGGCACTGATGCCTACATCTCTCCCCCCTGGGCAGAATGGGCATGGAGGACATGATGTGCTCCAAAACGGCCTTCTGCTCCATCAGGTGGGATGCCATGGTGTAGGTGGAGTTCCACCTGGTGGGCAGGCGTGCAAGGAGAACGTGGGTCTCCTGACCCAACTCCTCCTGCTTCTCAAGTAGCCGGCGGCCAGCTTTCAGGCTGTGGGAGAAGTGGCCCACCAGTTGGCGGCATTGCTCCAGGAGCGCCCACGTCTCCCACCGGCATTGCTCCAGGAGTGCCCACGTCTCCCAGGTGCCTTCGTCCCACTTGGGCTTGACGTGGCTGCCCAGGGCGAGAGCATCACGTACCACAAAGTCTCATTTGTGTGCCATGCATACAATGCCCTTAAAGCTTCGTTCAATGCCATTAACATGTTCCACCAAACATCTGTGACCATGTGGCCACGGGTCACCTCCCCCTCTAGTGCCCACTCTTGCAGTGCAGACAGGAACTCAGCAGCGATGTTTCTCCCAGTTGCCTGAGCTTCTATGTTCTGCACCAGTCTCTCCTTTAACACACTGCCTGCCTCCCTGCACCCGCCTCTTTGCCCGCGCACCCACCTGCCTACCCTCCAGTCCTCCTGAAAAAAAAAGACCTGCCTACTCGCCTGCCGGCATGTAAATCTGCCCCTCAGTCAGAAATCCAGCTGCTGATTCCAGTCGCCTCCTCAGGCCAAGTTCCAACCGAGCCTGCCCGCCTGCCCGCTGGGTCACGTCGGCCCAGCGGGCCAAGCCTAGTCCTATCATCTTCTTTCTGCCTATTGGGTTGACCCCCAGTGTGCCAAGTTTATATTAACAACTGCCTGCTTGCTGGGTCACATTGGCCCAGCCAGCCCTCCTGGTATGGGTTAAACAGATCAGCTCAGCAATCTGAAGCCAAGCAATTTGGTGATGGGGTGACGCGCAGACAAGTTGTGGGTGTGGCAGAGCCCAGCCAGCCCTCCTGGGACGGGTTAAACCAGACCAGCATACCTGCCTCAGACATCACTCAGACATCTCATCAAGCTTGCACACCTGAATGTGCCAAGAGGGCCAGCCAGGCCTCTTCTCTTGCGAGCTTGCATACCTGAATGTGCCAAGAGAGCCAGCCAGGCGTCTCGGCAGTTGGCGCACCCAAGGCCAGTCCCGGCATCCCAAACATGGCAAGATGGCCGGCCTGTCTAAGCGCTCCGCCCCCAAACCTCCGAGGGCTATCTTTATCGAGCTTGCATACCTGAATGTGCCAAGAGAGCCAGCCAGGCGTCTCGGCAGTTGGCGCACCCAAGGCCAGTCCCGGCATCCCAAACA